GGTTTAGGTTGTAGATAAGATTATTTAAATCTGTATTCTTAAGTTAGATATGTAACTATATAAGGCAAATATTTGAAATTATCTAAATAAAGATACAAGGCAAAGTCTCACCTTAATACCAAAAAAAAAAATATATATATAATAATTGTATATTAGATACTAATAGTATATTTAGTAAACTTGCAAAATATAGTTTAAAAATTTTTTAGATATTAAAAAGATTAGTAATATTAAAGTAGAAGCATTTAACTAATACTATAAAAATTTAAAAAAAAATTTTTTAACCTATTTCCTATTTTTGCTACGAAATATCCTATATATTACATGACTAAAATTCTATACTATAATTGGTTTATAAATAAATATTGTTTTTTATTGTTTTTTATTAAAAAATTTGAATGGTTTAAAACATTTAAAACATGTTTTAAAACAGATTGTTTAAAACATTTGCCATCCCTACTTTAAGCGACCCCCGCAACGGGTAACCCGTGTGGAAGACATTTAGTTGACCGGGTTTCACCCGGGTGACAATATGGCCCACCTGTCGGGTGACCCGAGTGGAGAATTTTTTTAAACGGGTCAAATCACTAGACACATCGATTTCATGTTACACTTGATCTTTTGCATTCTAATTGGCTAGACCAGGAATAGCGTATCAACTCTAAAAAAAAATATGAAATCCTACCGGGTGTTCAAAAAGTTCCTATACACAGTCCCTTTTTTTTTTAAGTGACCTTATATATAAAAATCACGATAATTATTTATACAAATATTCAAATCATCATGATCTCAATATATGCTATCATATTTAAAAAATTAGGGATCGTGTATAACGATAGGAACTTTTCGAACACCCGGTATAGTTTACTAATATAGTTTTGAATTAGTTGATTTTGAAATACAAATTGGAGTTTTTTTTTTAAAATTAGAACTTTAGAGTAAAAATTTTATTTTATATAGTATATAACGATAAAACTGTGTTTTACCATTCATTTACATTTGGTTGTATATAACTCATTTAATTCATTGAATAAATTATTTAAATTAATTAACTTTAAATGTAAAAAACTGGATTTATTACATGACAAATGACGGCTGATGAAAATGAAGGTCATACATAATAAATGATTTAATAAAAGTGATTAGCAATAATTTTTATAAAGCATATCGCTTTAAATCATTTAAATCATAGTGTTAGCTTAAAATGAATTATGAGATAAACTAAGATCCAATATAGTTTAATACGTAGCTCGATTACAGATTAATTATAACTATTTGCAGAAAAATTTACCTGTAAAATGGAGTAAGGGATAATTGAAAATTGCGGATGGTATGTGATTTTTAACGTTAACATTAATGTTTGTTGTTATATTTGTTATATCTAGGTTTGCATGCTCTTGTCAAGCCCTTGCCATGTCCCTGCGTATGCAAGGACACTATTTGACGAGAACAAATTGTTATGTTGTTGGTAACACTAGCGTTAACAATCATAAAGCCTTAGACAATAACGATAATAATAAGCTTTATAACGATATAATTGGTACAATAAAACAAAATAGATTTCTCATTTTTAAATAGTTGTATAAACAAGATTTATCCTTGATTTTTTTTAAAAATATTTGTAACGAAACCGAATACAAGAATATATAGAGGCTACGTAATAGAGACTAATATCGATATATATTTTTGTAAGTCATAATAAATACACGAGACTGCCTTTTTAGAGAATGTTTGCCACAAGAAGCTTAACATTGATAGATAATTGCAACGTGATTAAAAAAATAAAGCGGTGTTACGATGATAATCGTAACACGTGTAAAATTTGTTAATTAGCATTTAACCTTTTGTAGAGGATCGTCTAAAGCATGGTAAACAAAAATCGCATTTTCGTGCATTCAGAGTTACCTTTTTGATATCCGTTTTAAAAGTTAAAATTTAAGGATTGGTGAATAATGCGATCGTAGCTGTATGTGCAACATGACTTAATTGAAAAAATGAATTAAGTGCGTTAAAAAAAAAAAAAATTACAATCTACGAATCTACGATAAATATTTCATATCGTATACATAGCATTTACACTTGAAATATTATTTTTAACACTAAATATGTAACATATTACAAATTATGCATATGAAAAATTTTTTTTTTTTTTTTAATGGTTAAAATGTCATTTACTTGTTATTTCTTTAAAACTTGAAAAACTTCATAATCATCTACTCTGAAATAATTCCATTTATCCCTAATAGCATGTTCATACTTCAATCCACCGGATGCATAACTTGTTTCAGCTCGCGCAGCATCGTCAACAATTTTCAATTCGTAAAAACCAAAAGAAGGACCAAGTCGATCATGAAGTTGGATTGCGTCATTTACATAATCATCTTTAATCCTACTTAGTTTTGCTTTACTTAGTTCTTTTCCATCACCTAAAGAAAATATAAAGCTATCGCGTGTACCACGCCATTCAACATCTCTGGGTGAAGACCATCCTATCGGATTGTAGCCTCCTATTAACTCATCCGATTTACTTACTCTCACGACAACTACTGTAGCACCCTGACCATCACATTGAGTATGAAATGTTTTAGCAAAATATCCGTCTCGACTTCCACGAAATAATAATCTTTTAATCATAAAAGTATATATTATTATTATTGTTATTATTATTATTACTATTCAAAATTTCACAATATATATAAATATCGTAAATACCTGAAATAATACGGAATTGGAAACATATCAGATAGGGATGTAGACTCAGTCACTGGTTTTCGATCTATCCAACAAGCAATAAGAGCAGCTTGTTTTTGCGTGATGATTATTGAGTCTATCGCTCTTTCTGGGGTTGTCGATATTGTGATCAAATTAGTCTCCGGTTGTCTTTTAGCCAATAAATGTTGGACAATTCTTGATCTCAAATTTGACGGTAAAATCTTTATGAATGGTTTGACTTTAGTGTTAAATTCTTCAATTGAAAGTTGACCAAACCTTATCAACGGAATACACCGTTGTAAAGTTTTTTCTAATGCATTAAATTCCTTTGTGCTCCAATTTATAAAGTCCACATTCTTTAAGTTTGGAGTATTGATTAAACCCCATTTAAGTACACGATCCCAAATTTTTCCTTCTTCCATACATAAATCATCTCGATTTAGTAATGATACTAAAGTGGACTCATCCAATTCGATGAATTCTTGTGATTCGAAAAATTTAACAGGATCCGGACAGACTATCGATATACAGTGAAATCTTAATTGGCTACATGCATTTATTTTTACAACTGTGTTTAAAACGTATAAAATGTTCTCTTGAATCCATGTTAATTGATTTTTAAGAAGATAATCTTGTAGTGGATATATAAGTTCCTCAAAAATTAATTCATCGGCTGCCACTAAAAGTTCTATTATATCCTTTCCGTTAAGTTTATCTAGTACGATATTGCCACTATATATATACCTAGAAAAAAAATAATAAAAAAAAAAAAAAAAAAAAATAATAATAATAAAAATAAATAAAACACGTACTTATAAAATAAAAAAAAATATACAAGTTAAAATTATAAACTTATACCTAAGTATCACTTCAAATACTATCGGTCTAATATTAGGCTTTTCAAACACATATTTTGTTCCTTCTTTCTTTGCCCACTTATTTGATAAAGCAGCCCGAAAATATTCTGACCTTGCTCTTAGAATAACCGAATGTGCACGAAAATGTTTATTTTCAACTTTGGGCTTTCCTACTTTAATCGTAACGTCGTAGTCTTCTGCGTGTTCGAGTAGAGTACCAAGATTATCAGATAGTCGAGAATGAAAAGATAATGACATAGCTTTTTAAAAAAAAGTAAAATTTCGTTTATATACAAGACTTAAAGACGTGTAAACAGAAAGTTTTTAAATATTTAAGCGTAATTATATTTTTTTCATTATTCAATCAAATAATTTGGTCGGATGACTATTTTGTTTGTCAATTTTAGGCGCATGATTGGTGTATTAATGTGTATAATGAGGGAGTAAAGGAGCATAAGCATTTATACACAAAATAAGTGGCTTATAGTTAACACTAGATACACTAGATACATACGTACCTTAATAAACTTTTTCCGGTAAGATCATCTATCTGTATCCGGTAAATTTTATTCCCAGTGAAGTGAAATTTGTGTGCGTGGCAATGACAAACTATTTTTTCATGCAGATCCATAAATTTTCGCTCATCAAGATATGTATATATGTATATATATGTAACAAGTATAAATAAATATATGCAAAAATGAATATGTTGATCGCTGCGACTGTGTGAAAATTTTTATGTATTTGATGTATGCAAATATACAGTTCCATTTTTGTAAGGTCTTTGTAATCATTTAATGACTAACTTAATGACTTGAATTACTCTTGAATCACTGGACTTTTATCCGGTTCGTTTCATAGCATACCTGGTTTTTTTTTTTTCCTACTGTTTTTTTTTTTACTATTTATTTTAAAGCTATATTGTTGACTTAGTAAACAAAGTATCCAAAATTATACTATATTTTATTCAGAAGTTGATGTTAAATAAGAGTGTTTCGACTTCTCTTTGACCCAATCGATATTTGCCGTACGTATTACTGTATTAGTTGTTATTTCTGGTTATTTTTCTTGATATGGGATAAAAAATTTATACGTATATGAAATTAGGCATATCTTCTCATAAATATTACGTAGATATTTGTCACATCATACCACCTAAGTCGCGTATTATTAGCGCCTATTCTTTTATACTTTTCTGGGAAATTTTGGGTACGCTAAAGCGGGGTAACTATTAAAGCGATTTACTTATTTCTGCAAGTGATACAAATCACGTGCCGATAGGAAATATTCGTTTGTTGGTTATTTCGCTAAAAGCACATGAAATTTTGACCAGCATTAGGGTTGGGGTTAAGGTTGGTATAAGAAACATCGTATAGTAAAATTTGGCCAGGAATTTTTTTATTAGAACGTAAAAGGGCAAAATTTTGAATTACCGGAAAAAAACCTTTGATTTCACTTTATATAATCTTGCGATCTACATAAAAATTTCTTTTTTTGAATTTGTATCACTTGCAGGAGGTTGTGCAAATCAATTAACAACCAATTAAAATTATTTATTTTAATAAACAAAATTTTTAAAGCTAGCATAATAATTACCTTATCGAATTTTATAAATTTAAATTGAAAATTTCTTAATTTACACCAGGTGTATATACACACATACTAATTTATTGATTTACGAATTTGTGTAATATATAAATTATAACCGAAAAATTAGTATAGTTTAAGGTTAGGGTGAGGTAGCTTTAGGGTTAGAGAAGGTTATAGTTATACTAAAATTTCGCAAGGAATATTTTTTGTTAGAACACCAAAAGCTATTATATAATCAGAATTTTGAGATATCAAATATATGTGTACATATACCTGGTGTACAAATAGCAATCGTTATTTAAATTTTATAAATTTGTAAAATTTAAACAAAAAAATTTTTATCAAATTTGGCTAAAAAATTATTATTTGTTTAAAGTTTTTTTTTTTTTATAAACACTATAGTTGATGTTTATAGTTTTTTAAATAAAAATATCTTAACAAGTTTCTAACCAAATTTGATAAAAATTTTTTATTCAAATTTTATAGATTTATAGAATTTAAATAAAAAAATTTTAATCAAATTTGATTTAAAATTTATTGAGATATTTTTATTTAAATTTTTTTTTAAAAAATACAAGCTATATTCAAATTGGATGTTTTATAGAATAGGTGGGCAAACTCTGCAAACTCTGCAACTTTGATATTAAAAAATTAATGATTACAAATCATTAGTGAAGCTTATTTCTTATATTGCCCACCTATTCTATAGAATATCCTTCAAATTTTTAAATTTTAATAAAAAAATTTTAATCAAATTTGATTTAAAATTTATTAAAATATTTTATTTAAATTTTTTTTTAAAAAAATACAAGCTATATTCAAATTTTTAAATTTTAAATAAAAATATCTTAATAAATTTTTAGCCAAATTTAATTTAATTTTTTATTTAAATTTTACAAATTTGTAAAATTTAAATAAAATTTTTTATCAAATTTAATTAAAATATTTTTATCAAATTTAATTAAAATATTTTTATTCAAATAAGATAATTTATATATTTATTAAAAAATATAACTTGTTTAAGATTTTTAAACTTTAAAAAAATATGATTTTAACTAAAATTAATAAAAATTTGTTATTTAAAATTTAAAAATCTATAGAATTTAAATAAAAAATTTTTATTAAATTTGGTTAAAATATTTATTATTTTAATTAAAAATTAAAATTAAAAAATAATAATAATATTTTTAATTTGTAAATTATTTCTAAACAAATTTGTTTAAAAAATTTTATTAAGACTATACAAATTTAATAAATTAGTTTTTATAATTCAATTGAATTAAATTTTACAAAATTTTTAAAAAAATTTTTGATTATATTTACTATTTAAATAAAATTTTTTTTAAAAATCTATAAAAATTTTTATATGCTTTTTATATATAAAAATTTTTTAAAAATAAAATTAAAAGCTGAGTTGTCAAATTATTTTCAAATTTTTATTATAAAAAATTAATTTTATATAGTCTAATAATAAAATTTTTTTAATTTTTTTTTACTTAAGCAGATTGTATTAGTATTTTTTATTTAATAAAGTTAGACTTTATAAAGAATACATAACATTAAAGCTGTAGATCTGATATTATGTAACTACTTTACAAAAAGCTAACCACTAACAGAGTGCTTATATGTAACTAGCTGTATAACAGAATATAATTAATTAAAATAATATCTATTAGAGCTCATCCAACCACTATTCTACAATAGGATATTACTAATCTGATAATATTTTCTTGTAGAGAAGTGAAAGAAAAAGAAAAAGAATTATAAAAAAATATAAAGGTATAGGGAAGTATATAAAAAAATCAAACAAGAAATAAAAGAGATAAAGAGATTATAAAAAAACTAAACTAAATATAGAATTTTTTATTTATACCAAACAATCACAATTATAAATCTTGTTAGGCTTTGTAAAAATTGCATATTACTATTTAAATTATTTTCTATACTAATTTATATAATTAATATGTATAAGCAAAAAATCTTAAAACAAGAAAAAAATCAGCTTCTTTGATATTGATACTATAAAGAGATTAAAAATTTGCACTATTAGGCTCAAAATATTGTTTATGGCAAATTAAAATGAAATCTGATTAAAATAAAATGAGGATAGTATAAAATAGACAAGCCACTAAAAAATACAAATTTTTAGAGTATATTTTTTAGCATTTTTTTAGGATTAGAATTAGAGTTTAGAAACAGGTTTTATAATAAATAAGTATAGGTGGGTTTTAGAGATCAAATAAAAATTCTTCATTTTATTTTAATCTGATTTCATTATGATTCATGATATTATTTGTTTAGGTTGTTATATTCAAGACACATAATCTACAATTCCATATTTTATATATTCACATATTTGTTGTAACAAGTAAAAAAAGTAAACAATACTATTTGATTTAGTAAATAAACAATATAATGATCTTTTGAAAAAGATAAGCTAAATTATCTACTTTTTATAAAATTTTCTTTAAAAAAAATGGAAGGTCAACAAAAATATATGAGGTTTTTCTGTAGGTTTTACAATTATATAGTTGATTCTTCAAGATTATACTATCTTAGCAAGAGCCTTTCTACTACTTGCTTCTAGGATAAACCTTCTAGTTTGAATACTAAATATTTTGGAGAATCTACTGATTAGCAAAAGTTTGATTCCAAGAAAAACTACTTAAGTTATGCCTATTTCTCAGTATTTCACATCTATCAAGCTTTATCAACAGCAATCTGTTCAAAAGTAAATTCAATTCTTAAAATAAACCTTCTGATTTGAATATTAAATATCTTGAGGAGTCTGTCAAAAGAAGGAAGAAGTTTAATCTTTAGAAAAACTGCCTAAGTTATATTCACTTCTTAGTATTTCATGTCTATAAGCTTTGTTAACAATTGTTTACTCAAAGACAGAACTGAAAATAGTATATATCTTGAACCTTTTTATAATGGTTTCTGTAGTTCAGTTTTTTGTTATATTGTCCAAAGGATTGTTAAAAAATGTTTGTGATATTTGATAAAATTTTTTTAATTAAAATTAATATTTTAAAATTAAATATATTTTAATTTTAATTTTAACCTATTTAAATATGCTTTAATTTATTTTAATATATTTTATATTTGTTTTTAAAAATAATTAATCTTGAAGATATTATTATAAGAATTTTATTATTTAGTATATTTACTTTGTAATATACCTTATATAATCTGGTGTAATATAAAATTAAAACAAATCAATAATATATAAATTTAAAGTAAAGATTAGCACTAATATAAAGTTAGATTAGATTATAGATAAATATTAACTATATCTAAAATTTTGCAAAAAATTTTTTTTTATTAAAATATAAAAAATAGTTTATAAACAAAATTATAAATTACAAGCAATTTTTTCAAAATATCACTATTTTTCAATTTTATACTATATTTGATTTTATAATCTAATTGGTCAATTAGATAAATATATTACAATACATATAAATTAAATTATATAATCCTTATTATAAAATTTTAATTTTTAATATTTAAAGTAATATTAAACTATTTAACAAAATTATTATACTTGATTATAAAATTATTATCTTCAAACTATTTGTATAATATTATATATATATGATATATATACAAAAAAATTTATTTACTATAGTTATATTCTCATATAATCATATAGTTTTTTATTTAAG